ACTATTTACATTGTAGATTCTCACGATTCTCTATGTACTTAACAAAAAAAGGTGAAATAACTGAAACATGTTTTATATTCTAGTTTCTTCAAAATAGCCACCCTTTGCTCTGATTACTGCTTTGCACACTCTTGGCATTCTCTCCATGAGCTTCAAGAGGTAGTCACCTGAAATGGTTTTCCAACAGTCTTGAAGGAGTTCCCAGAGGTGTTTAGCACTTGTTGGCCCCTTTGCCTTCACTCTGCGGTCCAGCTCACCCCAAACCATCTGGATTGGGTTCAGGTCCGGTGACTGTGGAGGCCAGGTCATCTGCCGCAGCACTCCATCACTCTCCTTCTTGGTCAAATAGCCCTTACACAGCCTGGAGGTGTGTTTGGGGTCATTGTCCTGTTGAAAAATAAATGATCGTCCAACTAAACGCAAACCGGATGGGATGGCATGTCGCTGCAGGATGCTGTGGTAGCCATGCTGGTTCAGTGTGCCTTCAATTTTGAATAAATCCCCAACAGTGTCACCAGCAAAACACCCCCACACCATCACACCTCCTCCTCCATGCTTCACAGTGGGAACCAGGCATGTGGAATCCATCCGTTCACCTTTTCTGCGTCTCACAAAGACACGGCGGTTGGAACCAAAGATCTCAAATTTGGACTTATCAGACCAAAGCACAGATTTCCACTGGTCTAATGTCCATTCCTTGTGTTTCTTGGCCCAAACAAATCTCTTCTGCTTGTTGCCTCTCCTTAGCAGTGGTTTCCTAGCAGCTATTTGACCATGAAGGCCTGATTGGCGCAGTCTCCTCTTAACAGTTGTTCTAGAGATGGGTCTGCTGCTAGAACTCTGTGTGGCATTCATCTGGTTTCTGATCTGAGCTGCTGTTAACTTGCGATTTCTGAGGCTGGTGACTCGGATGAACTTATCCTCAGAAGCAGAGGTGACTCTTGGTCTTCCTTTCCTGGGTCGGTCCTCATGTGTGCCAGTTTGGTTGTAGCGCTTGATGGTTTTTGCGACTCCACTTGGGGACACATTTAAAGTTTTTGCAATTTTCCGGACTGACTGACCTTCATTTCTTAAAGTAATGATGGCCACTCATTTTTCTTTAGTTAGCTGATTGGTTCTTGCCATAATATGAATTTTAACAGTTGTCCAATAGGGTTGTCGGCTATGTATTAACCTGACTTCTGCACAACACAACTGATGGTCCCAACCCCATTGATAAAGCAAGAAATTCCACTAATTAACCCTGATAAGGCACACCTGTGAAGTGGAAACCATTTCAGGTGACTATCTCTTGAAGCTCATGGAGAGAATGCCAAGAGTGTGCAAAGCAGTAATCAGAGCAAAGGGTGGCTATTTTGAAGAAACTAGAATATAAAACATGTTTTCAGTTATTTCACCTTTTTTTGTTAAGTACATAACTCCACATGTGTTCATTCATAGTTTTGATGCCTTCAGTGAGAATCTACAATGTAAATAGTCATGAAAATAAAGAAAACGCATTGAATGAGAAGGTGTGTCCAAACTTTTGGCCTGTACTGTAAATACACTGCAACACACTTCTAGTGAGTCATTAGTGATGATTGAGAGGGATGACTTTTGTACCTACTTTGTTTTTTAAGGAAAATCCAGTATAGTATACGCTCAATTGATTGAAGACACCTTTTATTTCCCGTTTCCCTATCATAAGATCATTCATATCAGTGTTGTTTGCATATTGATAATGACAGATGATGATAACATTCAACAGTTGCATCTCATTAGTCAGTCACAGATGCTGCAGGTACATCAGCAAATGAAAACAGTATGGATGTTGTTGCTGTCAGGGCGTAATTACTAATAACATCACTGCTGCAGTGTGATGTGAGTCTCTTCACTGGATGGATTAGCCGCTATTACTCAGCTGAAGTACACAAGCCTGAAAACAGGTCGATTCAGTGTAAACAGGGGGTTACAGTGCAATCAAAATGTGTTATGGGATTTATTTTTCATTAAAGCAGTAGATGACTTTTAGGGCAATTCATCTTAAATAGCTGATGGTGTAGAATTTAATGCTAAAGGTGAGAGAAAAGGGAGATAACATGCAACAAAGGCTGCAGTATAGATTTGATTGACCCTCACATTGATCTTCATCCCCAGATCAATCCTCAGTGTTTGTGAATCTAAATGTTAAAGACGCTGGTCTCTCTCTGAAAGGTTTAAATGCAAAGTATGTTCATGACCGGCACATAGTTACATAACACCTTTTTGTCAGAAAAAACAGACGGACTTTGCCATTTCTATAGCCATGCTGTTAGTGTGGCTAAAACCTCATCTCTGTACTTGTAAGCAATAAATAGATCACTGCAGGCATAAAGCAATAAACAGTCAAAAAGCAAAGCACTTGTCAACAAGCTGTCAGCTGAGTCACATTGTTTATCTCCTTGTGTACAGAAAACACTCAAAAAATTGCCCTTTGTAACAGTTGCTGCAAAATGAAGTCATTTTATTCCAGTAATACAAACTTTGTAGGAACAAATAAAGCTACATGATTAGATTTAATGTTAAAGTGGAATCAACATTGTACTCTGTGTTCTACATCTGTTGTGACAATAGAAATGGTCTGACGGCAGCCACCAGTGTTCAGAGTACATGTTATTTACATGCACTGTCGTAGTTTCCAATCTGGTTCACAGGCTGCTCGTGACGCCACCTGTGCTGACCTTAGCTGTCACACTGTAATAGGCGGTGCAGGAACAGCAACAAATAAAGCAGGCTGAGCTGCAGCCAGGATGAATGGTGACAGTGTGGGTTTGGAGCTGAGTTAATGGCAGACTGTTGTAGCCCTACAACGTAGCAGTCTGCCATATGATGTCAGTCAGGCAGTGAGTCACAGTGGACCCAGTACAACTCAACACTGTCCATCTGCTGCTCCCTGCAATAACATACACACAGGAATACATAGAGGCTCATATATTGGAAGAAGCAGAGCTCACGCCATACAGCTGATGTTTTCTCCCCCGAGCCAAACAACATAACACTGCAGTTTTTTTGTTTTGTTTTTTTTAATTCCTGAGCCCTGAGTTAGTAGTATATTGCTATATATAACTTATAATTTGGAGAGTTGCCATGACAATGAATAAATCTTACATTAGAGACAGAGTTAGACAAATGTCATTATTTTTGGAGTGCATAGCAAGGCCAGCGTGAGCATGGACACAACAAAAGTTATCGAAAAGCAGTAGAAAGTCAAAAAGCCTACTTTCAGAATTGTGCATTAACACGCTCGTGCAGATACTATTCTGTTACACACACACACACACACACACACACACACACACACACACACACACACATGCGCTGAACAAACATGCAAACATTTTTGGTTCTTACATAGTTTTTGCTACTAGTCCCAAAACAATATCTGTCTTACAATGCTTTATGCAGTACCTTACTTAAAGGAAAACTTCACCCACAAAATGATCATTTCTATATCACTTACTTACCCTATGTTTTGTTAAATCCATTCTCATTTTGCAGTTGAACTGTTCTTTAAAAATAGAACAATGTTTTTCTCTTTTTTTGCCATTAATGAATAGGGGCCAGACTTTTCAAATTTATTATCTATACAGATACAAGCAATAAAGAATAAATGCTAAGCTACATGACAGGAAACTGTAATCACCAGCCAACACCCAGCTGCCAATAAGATTAATTTAAAGCCCAATTTGCAGCAAAACAGAAAAACATACTTTATGCTTACAGCTTATAGAAGAATGTGGTTAAATGAAATACTCATACTAGTAAAATAGTATCCAAGGTAACAATGTAGGACTAAACTGCTCTTGGACAAACATTCACACACTGCTCCTCACCGTGACTCATTAAAGGGATAATTGACATTTTGGGAAATAACACATGTGAGATCAATACCACTTTCATAATGTATCGTCTTTGCTATGCTAAGCTAATAATCTGTTGCCTGATATCAGACAGAATTGTTTACTTGTTACGCTCCGTTTCCATCTTCAGTCTGATATCCAGTTTAGCTGATTTCAGTCAGGAAAGGGGGGATTAAATTTTCCCAAACCAATCACAAGAATCCAAGAATCTGAAGTCCGCCAGTCCACACTGGTTCAGCCATGCAAACATACTGGTTTAGCTGGGGTTTTACTTAAAGAGTGGAGCTGAGCAAAGTTAAAACATAGTATTTGCAATCTGGATAGCAGTGTTTATCTTGTCTACAGCGATAGCCATGTTGTTATTACTCCTCATTACTTGACTACAGCTGACAATGACATCAGTCCTTTTGGTGGTGCTGATTGGCCACATGTTACTCCCTGGGGTGCTCACTGATCATTTTTTATTTCAACTGAGGAACCGATAAGGGTCCGCACACGTGCCATGTGTTTTGCACCATCAAATCCGTTGTTGTCAATGTAAACAACTAAAAGGCGTGCTCAAAAGCGAGAGTGATGCTGTGGTGGCGTGCAAGCATTACCAAGTGCCTAATTTTCAGGGTGTCATGGCTGTGCCTTGAGATAAACAAAATTCAGCTTTTAGAGTGCAGCAATGCACACAATGTCACGTGACCTCTCTTCTATTATTATCAGTCTTTGGCAAATATGGAGGGAAAGATGATCGTTTTTGTGCAGGGCTACCCAGAGCTTTACATCTGGCCCACAGACATTTAAAGCCAATTACACACTTAAATAACAACGCCTAGAAGAAGATCAGCCTTGAGCTCTGGATTTCTGGTAAGTACTGTAGGCTTTGATATGGTGCTAGTTATGGTCGCTTGGCAACATCAGGTGCAATCTGCTTAATTGTCTTTGAAAGTTGTCACAGAGTAAGCACAAGAGTAGCACCCTGCGCTCAACTTGGTGGTAAAAGACACAGCATGTGCTGACCCTAATGTGGGAATCTGCCAAATTTGTGATAATGTCTATGCGACATCACAGCCACCTGAAGGTACTGTCTCTGTCTGACTCTTGTTAACCAATTTGTCCTCCTCTTCTTCCCAGACCCGTACGAAGACCATTCAGGCTCTCTGCGTCTCATCACCATTAAACCCATGACTGCTCAGCCAACCTACTCCTATCCCTCCTCCTCATCCCACAGCCAAGACTCTGTGGTCCTCAACGGGGAGGTGAGTTTGCACACACGTATACATAATGTACACACACCCTCAAGGCTTTACTGCACTCACCTGTGAGGTGAATCTGCAGCGCTGACAGTAAAGAGCAGAGCAAAACTAGAACATCGTCATGATGAGTCACACAGATACATAGAGTACAGCTTAATTTGGTAGCCATGTACGTTAATAAGGCAGGTCTTCTTCAGTCGTATTGTTTATGTTTGGAACTGTTAGTACTTTATGTCTGTGATTCCCAAGAGAGGTATTTGTGTCCTAAATACATGCAGCGCAAAGTTGCAGTTGCATGGCTGAGCACATTTGCAATAAGGTGGGTGATGTGGGTGAAGGGGTACCTCAGTTCGTCTGACAGGGCCGTCGGGTTGCATCAGGTGAAAAAAGGTTGCAGCTTTATGTTACATTCTTCAGTTTCAGGCGTCTGTTATGGTGCCCTCACTGTACTGTAGTATTATCATAACATATCCTCTGGGACACATTGCACTAATGCTGAATTTAGCCGTTGCTATAAACACTTTGCTTTCTCTCCTCCTCTAATCTCTCCCTCTTGTCACTTTCCTGGCTGCCCAGCCTGTTACCTCTCACTGTTTTCCTCCTTATTTCACCGTGATACACAGGCTGATAATAATTTATCCTTCAGACTATTAACATGAGACGGGAAAATCCCCTCAGGGTTTTCTGGTGTTCCAGTTCATCTGCAATTGATTGGGTGTACATTAGCAGAAAAGATCACGTTTAGGGCATGATACGTTCTACGATTATCAAGCTGTGGGGAATGTTTGCCAAAACACATTGATCTGTCTTAGGCAAATATCATACAATAAAAGGTTATTATAAAAAATTAGCCATGGAGCCAGGAAAATATGATTACCTAAATGTAATACTTGGAATGGATTGTTTGTAGGCAAACCATGGTGGGCTGAAGCAGAAGTCGGACATCGAGCACTATAGGAACAAACTGCGCCAGAAGGCCCGGAGGAAGGGCTACGGAGAATTCTCTCTGTCCGAGAGTGGCAGCCATGGTTACAGTCACCGTGACACCAGGCACAGTCGGCACGATAACGGGGTCAAGGAGCCAATGACCGCTGAGGAGAAGAGGGCTTCCTTCGCAGGATGTCATAAGAGGTATGGAGTAAAGTTTGTGGGGGTTCCAGAGACATAAAAAAGAGCAGTTATTTAGTCTAAGTATAATTAGATGCACATTATCACTGGAATCATACCAATATTTCTCTACTCACAGGCATTACTGGCCCTAAGTGCACTGCAGATAGTTAAACAAATCAAAAGTATCCACAACCAAAAGCTCACCAAATGTTATGACAGTTATCCAGAAATGTTTGACAGTCCCAAAATTAAAGGATTAGACTTCACTATCAAAGCAGAGTCCTATTTTATTATTGAAGCGCATGAAATATTTTGGGTTTGTTCCATTTCATTTCATTATTTGAGCAACTGCTTAAAGTGCTTTACAACTTTTTCATCAAGAACTCTAGATTCTGTACTGTAGAAGTGTAGCTGTAGAGCACAGTTGCTAAGCAACACATAAGGAGCGAGTGAGTAGGGTGATTTTTGGTCAGCACATTAATATTTACAGTTCATACAGATAAGTGTCTGTTTTGTTTCTCTTTGTCTCAAACGGATTTAACAACATTCAGCCTTTACACAGTTCAAGAATCATTTTATATTTGCTGTTCGGGCAAAGAAAAGCTCCTATTTTCCCTGTGAAACTTGAACTGAAAGGCATAATTTGGATCTTTTGAAGTGGGGTTGTATGAGGTACGTAACCATAATCAGTGTACTGCCTACAGTAGATGGCTGTTTGCGCACCCCCTGATTGGAGAAGTGGCAGGAGTACTGACATGGATGCTAAGCAATGTACTGCTTTGGACAGGGGGCAGCAACAAAGTGGATGTTAGTAACCTTAAAAGAAGTCCCACCTAAAAAAACAAAATCAGTAACATTTTAAGCGTATGCTATCTGTAGAATATTTTCATGGCTTTACCTTGCCGTCAGACAGCGATTTCTGCCAGGAAAGCTGTTAATGCCTTTAGTTCCTCATCTATACCCTCATCAAAGCCACCGGTGTCCACTGAGAAAAACAGTAGTTTAAGCTTTCTGAACATGAGAGCTGCTGGTTTGCCACTGCCTCATTCAGTTAGCTTGTTGAATCCAAACGAACCCTTTTAAAGGCCAAAGTCACACAATAACAAACAAACTAAGACGAAGAAAGAAAAGAAAAGAAAGAAAAGAGTCTGGCTTTCAAGGTAGTGATATAACAGTTTCAGTTTCCTGTCGGAAATCGCTGCATGGTGGTAAGGTAAAGCAGTGAAAATATTCTAAATACAGCGCATACTTAAACAGATATTGATTCTTTTAGGTGGAACTTTCTTTAGGTGGCTACAATACCTTTTGCTGCTGCCCCTGTCCACAACAGTAGATTGCGTAGCTTCCAGTTGATACTCCTGCCAAATCTCTCCAAACTGGGGGTGTGCCAGCTGACATCTACTATATGTAATATGCTGACTGAGGTAAAGTACCTCATATAACCCCACGTCAAAAGATCCAAACTATCTGTTTAGGCAACAGAAAATCTGTGTATGTCCTGTACATTTTCATTTATTAAGGAATTTGTTTGAAATAATTTCAAAATAAAATAAAAAAAGGTCAATAAGGTTAAACTAAGTGTAAGAATTCTGAATTTATTAAGTGATTCTAAACAAAACTTGTTTCCACAGTAAAATAAATTGAGGGTAAATATGATTTGCAATAAATTATAACAGTTTACTCAACAGTTGTTCTGTTTATGGGCACCATCTTCTCTCATACACTTTACTTACTGTGTGGAGGTTTGAGGAAAACATATAAACCAATCACAAATCCAATTTTCTTGCTTCAAAAGAAAGCTATCAGAATCTAAATCCGATAAATAAATTATTCATAATTTCAGAGGCACTCAAATTTAGTTGTAGAACTTGTAGATATTTAAAACAGCACTGATGTACAAAGCATACAATAGCATGTTACCAAATGAGAGAATGTCAGTATGAACTGAGAGGGAATTTTATGTTCACAAAAACAAAGACCAGAACGTGTAAAACAAAGATGTGTTTCAGTATTTGGAGTAAATTTGCGGGATGGTTTTGAAAGGAAATGAAAGTGTGTAATACACACATTAGGTTTAAAAGATTATTTAAACACAAGATAATTCACAAATGTAAAACTGAAGTATGAGCACCAGATTGTTTGGGATTTTTGGGTGGACTATAGGCCTATATAATGTATATATACTATCTTATATATATTCCGTGAGGGAAAGGGAGCTGACAAAAAAAGAAATAATGCGAAAAGGGTAGGTGCAATAAGCTAAGGCTTCAGCCTATCTTTTTTTTATTTATTTATCCTTTTTTTATTGCTAAAAAAGCATGAACTTAATTTTTATTCATTGTCCATCTACCAGTGTATTTGAGTTTTCTAAGTTGGAAAATGACCAAAATAAATTGAACTTAATTAGACATCATGGTTTTTAGGTTATCTAAAATTCAAATGTTAATGTTTCTGGACCCCAGATTCTTCCCTAAAGTTTAGAGGACAGTTTGCTCCAGTATCGCCCTGAGCTGTAGTTACAGTGTTTAGAGTGTTTTTTCTTCCACCTCTCCATCAGGTTCTCCCACCCGCGGGAGCCCACCTATTGGAGCCGACAGTCTCTGAGCAGCCCGAGCCCGGTAGAGACAGAGATGGACCTGCTGGTGCTGAGAGAAAGATCCAGGAGAGGCATCCGAAACAACGGCTACGATGTGAGTAACTGTACAAGTCGTGGCCCTTCTTATGAAAGCCCTGCAATGTTCTTTTGTGTTTTAGAACACTAAGCCAGAAATTAAGTCAGCAGTTCACAGAAGAACATGTCAGATGCAGGAAAAGACAGTGAATAAAAACATTTCAGTGATCTGAAGCAAAGACCTCTGTAACCTAAAATTTTAACTGCAACCAAGTGAATAGAGGATGTGAGGGATTTAATGTGGGAGATATTTAGAAAAGTACCCAGCGGCAAGACCATGCAAAGCTTTGAAGAAAGTTGGATCCTGTAACAAACTGTAATAGCCGCTGAGGTCCAACTGCTGACCAGGTGAGTCATACAGAGCGATGACGAAACCGTGGACGATTCCCTCTCCCAAAAAGCTCACATGATGGTTGTGGCGAAGTAAAGCTCTGCCACTTTGTCAAACAAATGAAATAATCTCCTGAGAGCATTTCTAACTTTAATCCTTTCTCTCCCTCCTTTACTCCGACTCCGACGCTGTGAGCTCACACACAGAGGATTATCAAATCACCTTTCAATGAACTTTATAAACCTGCGCCAAACACAAAGATGAAGATTGAGAGAGTAAGACAGAAGAGGAGGAAATGACAAAAAGATTAGAGAAAAAGTGATCCCTTCATTTTAGCGACGGCAGAGAATAGAGAGAGGAAGAAAGGAGGAGATAAAATGGGGACAGATAGAGAGTGTGAGTGAAATCTCTTTATGCTGCTTCTCTGCTGCACCACAGTAACAGCAGTGACCGTGCTACCTAGCTGAATGTCAATGACTCTGAATATGATTATAGCCTATTCATGGATTCAGATGGGAGGCTCGATAGCTGTTAATAGCCTTGGATGCACCAAACTGTTTGAAACGGCACGAGGAGAACAGAGTGTGTTTGAGCAGGAGCATGTATGATTGTGTGCATTGGTACAGTCGGTGTATAACCTCTCTGTTTGCTTTCATGCTTTAGAATTTTTGCTACAGTATGAACAGCATACAACTGTATACACTGTATTTATGCAGGGGCTACAGCTGGTTCCCCTGCCTCTTGTTTGTGCTGTTTTGGATTGTACGCAGGTATGTGAGGTTATGCATTGTGTTCGAGCTGGGTAATGATTTAGTATAATTATAGGTCAATTTTCAGTGCAATCCTGTTGTGATAATAACAACATGCAACAACCAATAATGCCATTGGGCCCTGGGGTGTATATTCCTGGGTGTCCTAACAACGCTAAAAGGGTCTTTTCAGCTACTCTGCAATAACTTTATGCACTCAGTGTACAATCAGCAGCTTTACACAACCTAAAAATTGAACATAATAACTCAACTTACTCTTAAAATAATAGGCCAGCATAGACCCACACAAGACTCAAACCCCAGTCTCCTGTGTGAAAAGTCCTCTTCCTCACTCATTCATCCACCACATCCTACTCCCTCCGTGGACTGTGACACTTTTTATACTACGTCACCTGACTTTCTGCCACTTCATTTGAAAACTCACCACTTTAATCTCATGGAATATCCAAGATTGTCTAGTACTAGCCCTAACCGTGACCTTTTTGCCCAAATCTTAACCACGTTTGACATTGACGCATCAACACGATGAATACTAGGCAATCACAGCATGTAGTGGGATTCATAATTGTAGGGACAGGTACAAATAGTGAATCCATTCATTTAATTAATTTATGGGATTTTGTATAAAACTTCTAAACGCTTGCAACTTGTGTGTGTGTGTTACATCTTACACGTGTCTTATAGAGCAGGGATTTTGGTACTTAAACCCCAGGGGGTGTGTGACAGAGAGCGGAGGAGGTGCTGATTCAACTGTATGGTTATTTCGGAGGATGTAGTTTATGGTGCTACTGAACTGGATCGCCTTGTACTCACAGATGTTCGTATTATTTTGGTTTCCCCGTTTTTATATCACTGAAGCAAGGCTTCATAACAGGAACATCTGCCAGTATAACGCAGTACAGTTCAACGGCACCACAAACTCCATCCACCAAAATGATACACAGTTGAGCCAAAACCTAAACTGGCAACTGAATGTTTATAACATGTGATTGTAACTGATGTGGTGATGTCGTCCTACTGCAGGAGAAGCTGCTCCATTAAGCGTATAGGTCTGATGATTATACCTGATGATCAGAGAGAAAAAATTGGATCAGAGCACTGGTTCCCAACCCATTTCCTTGAGGGACCTCTTTGCTATTATTGAGTAAAGTGACGACCCCTGAGTGACATATTTTAGGAATATTTTATATTATATTAAATGCATAACAATAACAGCACAGAACAACTGATAAACTGTAAAATTCATCCAAATAGTGAACACAATAAGTGCAGGAAGTTTGTGTAAAAAGAACGATTTGAATGAATTTAAAGTGGACTACTTCCTGTGAATATTGCATCAGAAATGAGTTTTTCTGATATTTTTAATACCTTCTTTTTAGGATTCAAATCTGTAAAGAGTGAAGGCACTGTGAAAGCTTGTATTCAAGTCTTCACTGTGCCTTTATCCTGTGGTTTATTTCTTACATAACAATCTTAACTTTTAAAATAATTTCATTTAGTTTTCTTCACAGAAATGAATGAATGCTGAGATTTAGGCCGACTGTATTTTTTCAAAAGTTTTCTTACACCTCTTAAAATCAAAAAGACCCCGGAGACTAGGGGATTCAACACCCTTGAAGGGACAGTTCACCACAGAATCACAAATCCATATTTTTCCTCCCACTTCTAGTGCTATCTATCAATCTAGATGCAGAAGGAAGAGTACATCTACTCACAGACAAGAGGCTCCTGCTCATGACAGTGTGAGATGTGAAAAATAATGGTGTCTTCCTTAGCTGAGCTGTAACGTTACACTACGCTGTGATACAGCTGATATCTCCAGCACTTAGCAACTCACACCAAAACAATCTAGACTGATAAAGAGCACTCCAGTTAAGAGGAAAAATATGGATTTTTGATTTTGGGTTGAACTGTCCCTTTAATACTAACTAACTTTCTTATTTGAAGTTTTGTAAATGCCTCTCAGCTTTTCCTTGAACCGAAAAGACTACAAAAATCTTTGGTATATTCCTCAGAGCATTTCTTTCTTAGCAAACAGAAGTTCATACAGTGGGTGGTCAGAGATGGTGAATTGATTTGTTTGGAAAACCTGTGATTTCAGTGTTCATGTCCTCATCGCTTAATTTAAAAATCTGATGAATGCACCTCTGTCCTGCTGACTAAGCGTGTGTGCTCTGCAGGGCGAACCGGAACCGTTTGAGGAGACCAACGTGGACCGCCTGATGAGCTCTCTGGGTTACGGAGGTGGATCTACTGGCACTGGGAACGGCAGCTTGGGGGTGAAAGCTCACCGTGGCTCCGACTCCTCCACACTCAGCTCTCAGCCATCCATTGATGAGGTCCGCACGCAGATGCATATGTTGCTAGGCAACGCCTTCAGCCTGGCACCTCCGGACCACGACCCTCCTTCTCCACCAACCAAGTAAATTTATATTTTTTCACAGATTATTTATTTTTTTAGCACATCTGCATGTTTTACAGTCGTGTGTAGGAATGAATAGAGAGAGGTGCCCTGACTCACCCCGAGCGCTTTTTCATAAAGTAGACTTTTCTGAACATGTCTGCACTAGCACACTCGAGAAAAACAGGAAAACTAAAGAGAGTAGGTGTGTTTCTGTTGACTCAACTTTTTCTTTTTTAGTCAACATTCCTCTCTCTCTCTCTCGTCAGCAGCCACCACCATCACCACCACCATGCCCACAGGGCCTACAACCCGTCCCACACCAGCCATTACAATGACGGGGTGACGAGCGCCCCAGGGACCATGAACCATCCCTGTGGAGGCAGACAGAGGAGTGCAGGCTACGAGGACATGCACCAGTGCAGCCTGCCTAAACCGGTAAGCACTAGATGAAGTTGGAGGGTGGATTCATTCAAATTACAAAGAACATATTTTCTCAGATAGTTTGGGTTTTATGAGTCAAGGTGTTGAGATATCTGTTTTTCACATTAATGCCTCCAACCCAGTACAATAGAGGCGAATGGAATTTCATTTGGTACTCACAAAATATCCAACAATAGCCAGTAGACTTATTTCTTTTTTTTCTTTTTTCTTTTTTTTTTTTTTTTTTACCATTTTAACAATATTTTCAGTTGAAAGTAGTTGCATAAAAAACATTCAGTGAGATGTCAATGGAGAGAATAGACAAGGATATGTCGACATATGACATTATAGAATGGGTAATAAATATATGATAAAAGCAGAAAAGAGACACAATGTACACCTTTGACGAGTATGCAAATAAATTCTAAAATACAAATAAAATGAAATAATGAAATAAAATATTAGCTGTGAAATGTACTTAAATCTGCAATAACTGATTTTTTTGGGCACTTTGGGGCAGCCATCAAGCTGTAAAGATGTTACTTACATATTATAACCTTATAAAGTTGTTTTGAAAAATCGTTGACTGTATCTAGTCGATGTCACCAAAGTGCCTGCTAACAAATCCTGTTGAAACAGAATAACATAAGCAATCATTTGGAGCCATGTTTGTGTCCAACAATTAATGTAAGTCCAATATTCACTCTCCTTTTAACTCTGCTTTGGTCTCCACCAACTCTGCCGCCTGCTGCTGCTGGAAACAAGAGCTGAGAGCTGTTCAAGTAAACCAAAACATTAAAGTATGTGGCTGAAATAACAAAACAATTAGCTAAAAGGCACCAAAACACTGCAAAGATCTGAGGAGAACTGCAGAGTTGAAAAATGATTCTCTATATGTTCACCTCCAATTGACACCTTTTGTATTACACAGGCATTTAATCCAGTGTTAGATAAATAAGTTGTAAAATAGAAGCATAGAGATATCAAAATAAAACTAATATAAATAAATACTCTTAATGAGGTTAGAATGTTACATTTTTAATTACTTAATCAGTAGGGTTATGTGAGGCTGATTTACTTCTTGGTTTGTTGCAATTTCTCATACTTTATGAGCATATCAAGGGTTGTAAAATCATTGTATGCAAAGTGACTATAGCAACCAGGTTGCTGCCATATCAGAGGAAAAAGAAGAAGAAGAAGAAGAAGAAGTTTCTTTTTATACCAAATATAGTATTTGTCTTGTTATGACATGAACATTCCACATCATAACATGATTATTGTTAAAACATAAAATGTTTCACACTATGACCTTTAATAATTAGTCAATACACAGCACAGTTAGACTACTGATATTTTAGGAAAATTGTGGATATTTCTGGATGCATTTGCTCATCTCCTCAAACGTTTGTGTTATTGTGTGACTTTAGTGAATCCAGACTTACCCCTTTAAATGCCAAAGTCACACAATAACACAAACAAACTAACTGATCAAAGCAGCAGTAGACCAGCAGCTCCTGTGTTCAGCGATGTTAAATCACTGTTTTCCACTATGACCTTTAATAATTAGTCAATACACAGCACAGTTAGACTACTGATATTTTAGGAAAATTGTGGATATTTCTGGATGCATTTGCTCATCTCCTCCTCTAATGAACTACTGATGAGATACGTTTATTAATCAGAGCACTTACAGAAAAACATTTAACTTGCAGAGCGCCTTTAGAACTGAACTTCTGAACAGTTATCGCCACACAATCGACATGGTGGGGTGCTTAGGAACAGCTGTTTCTGCATGCCTCTCCCTGCTGATTTTGACAAGGAATTGTTAAAATCCTTCTTAGTGTAGGCCCACAGTGCGCATGCTATTCACAATATTATCCACTGCACTCAATAACAGCAAAATCTTGCCATGTCTCAACCCAAGCACAGTCATGTAGCCATATTTCCTCATTTAAACATCAGTTTCACATAACAACAAAAGTTATCACGTTATAATGTGAAACATTTCACGTTATGCATATTCAGGTCCTTTATACATTTTTGCACACATTGAATTTTCATCTGTAGATAGGGCCACACACGACACAAATTTTATTTAACTAACATCCTTAAATTGTTGAAGCACTCATTAGACCCTTTTAAATGTTTGCACACGGACTTGTGCAGAGAGGTTGGACAGAAAAGCTGCCGTAAGTGCTCTCGGTGTGAACATTGCCAACAGCTGATCGGCAAGGGAGAAGCTTTACACATATTAAAGAGACTGAGGACTGAACACCCACCAACAAATAACAACAAGCCTCATGCAGCTCGAATCTGTATTTATCTTCTGTTTCACTCTGATCAGACACCCATCTGATTTCCAGGCCTCTTTGTTTGTCGAGATTTGTTTGTTGTTCCTTCCACTGTTGTTGTTGTTGTTTTTTTATTTTATTTTATTTTGCACTCTGTAGAGTCCAGATGCTAGTTCACTATGTGTCTAAGTTATATTTGTGGCGTCTGCAGGGTTTCCGGTTCACCCAGCTTCCTGATATGGGCATTGGGTCTCCCCCGCCACTGATCCCCTCGAGACCAGGACCACCACCTGGGACCTCATTACGACGGTACCTCACACACACTCACACAAATATAGACAACTACAGACACTTGAATGAGAAAATAAATTAAAAAATATAAAGAAGTCCAACCAGGAAGCGAAGCGTCCACTGTGCTGTTGAGATTCACAGGAAATGTTCACATATGGCATTTGAAAGCATTCCTGAATGATCTGGCAGCCAATCAAAACGCAGCACTGGGGCTAATCACTGTATCAGATTAATATGTAATTTATCGGTAGCGAGTGTACAGGAGATACAGAGGTAAAAACAAAAAAAAAGAAAAAAAAAAGCTACAGAATGTTATTCATCATCATTTGAACCGATTGCTCTCCACATCCACTCTCTATCTGCTCCTCTCTCTTCCCTCTCTCAGGCCCATATGTTCGTCTGCATCATTTGAACTGAGCAGCTTCTTCATTTAAATGCTGTTGCTGTGTGCACCGTGTTGCTGGGCACTTTAGCACTGCAGAGAGTGATTGACTGTTGGGTTGGTGTGGATTGCATGGAGGGGCATGTTTGCCATCTAGTGGACAAACTGAGAAAATAAATAAACATGTTCCAGCTGCGATGTGCTGCAGACTGACAGGAACAAACTCACATTGCAGGAAAATGCAAACATTTAGATATTTAGGACATCATTTAGAAGTGATTCAGGAGTTTGAATGTTTGTATTTTGTATGTCAGAGACAACTCTGTTGGTTTTACAATCCTCTGATTAGTGCTGATTTAATTTTAAATCAGATTTATGTGTGTGTGAACGTTATTCTTGCTTTAAAACCAGCAATAGAATTGTGTTAGTAGTTAATAAGTCAGCTCGTCATATTTCAGTACCCCTGTACCCTCAGGGAGGACGAGCGGAGCATTTTAATTCCTCTTTAGTATGCACTGTGAGGCATCTGTGTGCATAATGCTTTATGGTCCTGAGCCGTGGCAGTGACATCATCTGTCCTCCAGTCTTCTACTGTAGTGTAACATGTACGGCCGTTAGCATTTCTACAATGCAGAAAAAGATGCTTCAGTGTAGAAGAGTTAAAAAAGGATAATGACAAAACCTGTTACGCTGAAAATGGAAAAATGTGGTCTACGCAGAGCAGCTCTGAAAGGTGGACATCACTAAGATTTTTCACATGGTGAGGTCAGAAGTGCCCAAAATGCCCTGAGAATTCAACCACACATAAAAACAAAGTCTAAAAAATATGTATTATTAGTTATGTTTTATGCAATTTTTACTTTTAAAATGCAATGCCATCTTCTTATTATCAGGAAAACAATCCTAGTGTGGAAACACTGGATCCTTTATTTACTTTTGTCGGACTAAAAGCGAAATAAAATAATAAGAATAAATATATCAAGTGCAAATATACTAGAATCAGCGTATGAAATGCCTACTGGCATTTCTCTACTAGTTGTAGAATGTAAACCGATGTTGCTAAATCCTTAAATAGTTTTATTTTTTGGTTGTGTTTTTCATGGCAGCAGATTAAAATATACATGTTTTCATTAACACAATATGTGAGTTTTATTTTGACCAGATGTTTGCCTCGAGTACAGCGCTTGATTATATTGTTTTTACCCTTAAAATGATATGGGGCACGGCGTAGTGGTAGAGCAGGCGTCCCATGTACAGTACAAGGCTGTTGCCGCAGCGGCCTGGGCTTGACCCCAGCCTGTGGCCCCTTGCTGCATGTCACTCCCTCTCTCTCTCCCCCCTTCACACTTGTCTGTCCTATCCATTAAAGGCTGAAAATGCCCCCCAGAAAAAATGAGAAGACATTTCACACAAACTATTTACAGTCATATCACACAAAAAATAAATCCACATTTTTGTCTCTTTTTCTTCCTGTGAAAAAACCTGTTATATATACTATTATTGATATTCCTTAATAGGCATGAGTATGCAATGCAGTGGCGTCTGTTACAGACCTTGGTTAACATACTGTATTGAATGTAATTAGCTCATACATAGTGTGTCTATAGCGCTGGTTCATAAATATGGTACGTGTCTAACTGGTGGTGCGTAGCTCCCTCTAGTTGTACATGGAAGAACCTCCGAAATATTTTAAAAAAGAAAATAGATTAATTTAAACATATATGTTATCAACAACTGGATGCATGACAGCAAAGGGACTGATAGCAATGAACTGGAAGGACGCACATCAGCTGAAAAGGGGACTATGGTTCCATCATGGAGGAAGCTGCGTCTAATCATTCTGAAGTTAATAATGAGGAACAACAATTGTAGAAGGTCATACTGGGCACAGTTTGTAAAATACTCACCTTCCCTAGATTCTTGAGACATACTCCAGAAACAACATGATTGGTTTATGTTTCCTATATTCAATACTCAAGTGGATTTTAGTTATCTTTTTATTTCATTTTACTTTATTTTAATTTTTGCAGTTTCATTGTCCTTTTTTCTCACCCTGCATATGTATCTCTGTTGGTATGTCAGTTCTCAACAGTTTGTTGAGAAAATCAATAAAAGTTCAAGTAAAAATAACATATATGTGATCAAAATACTACATTTAACATGAAAATACTTGAAATACTTAAATGGGAAAGAAATATGTAAGCTTTGCATTTCATAATGTAGTGCGTGGCTCCATCCATAATAAGTTACGAGCTAAACTGTGATGGCAAGATAGCATGCTGCAATTGTGCCTTCAAATAGGAGCTTCTGTATTAGGGGGGAAGTGTGAATAAGGAGAAGAATATTTCAAGCTTCCCATTTGCAACTAAAGTGAACGACAATCAGCTGAGCCCAAGTGCTAGTGGCTACATACACAGCGCCAGTGGAGGCTAAACAGCACCTTATGAGATGCTGGCCCTTGAGGTGTTTGAGAGTTGTACGGAACTGACAGCATTCAACAATGAAGAATTTTCTGATTAGGAGTAAACCTGCCTCCTGCATGAACTGTCTGTAGCTTAAGTCAGTCATAGTAGTGGTCACACCAACCCTTAGGCATTATGGGCAGGGGGACAAAATTTTCCAAACTGGGCCCCTCATTTACACCCCCTGCAGCACCACCAGTGGTGCATAGACTTTTGCATTAACCCCTCTTTGGGCCTCAGGCCAGGGTCATCGGCACCCTTTGACCCCCCTGAAGGCGAGCCTGGTGGTGGTACCTGGAGAGCTTAATATTTACGGAGGAGGTATGCGAGTAAAAAGACAGACTCTGATGTGTGTGTGTGTGTGTGTGTGTGTGTGTGTGCTTGTTTTAAGCTAATTTTGACTTCTCAACTGCTGTCACTGCTTGGCGCAAAACTACAGCTATTGACTTCTTACACACTGACTCTTTAAGTTTCATTGAAATATCAATTGCTTTCATCATTTACACTTTAGCTGAAATTTCATCTGCTTTTATTTCTTACTCTTTAAAGCTACTGTTGATAACTTGTATGAAAATAACTTCATGTCATATTTGCTGAAACTGTCACTACATCTACGAGGTATTACATAAAATAACCAGTCTATAAAAAAGTCATGTCCCTCCTCCTCCTTCTATTGCCTCTAATGGCATTTGCTAGAATCTACTGCAGCTCAAGGAAAACAACCAATCAGAGCCTAGGAGTCTCTAACACAGCTGTCAGTGACCTTTCAGGGCTTCATGCTCCATTGACCCTCCACTGTTTTCAGTGCTAAACCTACACTGCAGCTCCTATACATGCAAATTGTCACATGTTTAATACATTTGAACCTGTTTGTTCCTCCTCATTGCAGCAAAAATGTGGAAATAAACAAATATTTAGTCCTCACTTGAAATATGAGTTATCATTATTAGACCTAGTAACTGTCCACATCCTAGCTGACCTCATCTCTTGGAGCTTGTTCAGTAGTTGTTTGAGCACTAAATATCAGGTTAACATCTGTCTCTTCTCTCTGCTGACAGTTCCACCCCTGATGTTAGTCTGAAGCCCCGTGTGTCAGAGGCCTCTGACCTGCAGGCTCAGCAGCACAACGGTGCCCCGTACCTGCCGCTGTCCAGGACCCCCTTCCCTGCTGTCACTGTCGACCAGTCCATCACCACCTACTCAGGTATGACAGAGCAGTGAGGTGCTGATATGCAGACTGTAGCTAAGTGAAGTTCAATCATTGGCTAAATTCATCTTCACATCTCACAGGAAACCCAATAACAGCAGTCTACGCGATATCTGCCAACCGCCCGGGTTACTCAGACTACTTTGTCATGTCACCGCCGTCCTCATACCGTAGCCCGTCCTGGATGTCCTACCCACCCGAGCCAGAAGACCTGCCGCGGCAGTGGAACGACACACCGGTGAGACACACGCAGCTCCTGTGTAATGCAGTTTAATACTTGACAAGCTGCAAACACTTTGTGTACCAGTGTGTGAAGCAGTTCTTCTCTTCTCCCCGCAGAACTCACGTCATCTTGAAACCATCTGCTGAAGTCGCCTGGCTGTGACACTGAGTGGAAACAGCCGATAGCTCGGTGGGTCATACCATCTCTGCACTGCTTGTGATGCTTGTGTTGTGAGTGGAAGGAAAATATCTTTATACTTCAAAACAGTAGAGTACTTTAAGTGAAAAATCTGCAAATATTCAAGTATTTAATTATTATTTCAAAGATGTTAATGAAAAAAATACCAGACTTATCGACCTACTGTATATCAGAATGCAACAATAACTGAAGCAAGTTACATGATTAGCCTGAATCTTATTTTGGATTCAGGCTGGGAAATCTTCTACATATGCAGAAAGTGACAAATAGAAACTTAAAATGATTACTTGCAAATAAAATTTGACCCAACTGTCCTCTGTCACAGTAGGATAGGATAGTGTTAACCCTTTAAGATCACATCCCTGTCCATATTTTGCACCTAATACATAATGTTTTATATCAAAATCCAATCAAGTTTTTTCTGTGAAACAAAACATGACGTGTGCTCATGTTAGCTAGTGCCAACTGTTTTCAACCACTTATATCAGGACGTCCATCCATCAATCAATCTGCAACTTTTAGCCACAAAGAGCTAACATTAAGTTGGCTAGGTAGCAACAGCATGCTACGTCAAGCTGTCTTTGTTTCCCTAAAGTACCTTGGTTACTCTCCAAATGTCGTTTCATCTTTACGTAAATGTTTTTTCAAAAAGCTAAAAGCTAAATCCATGTAATTACTGAAATGAGTTTTGACCACTGTTAGCAGTATGGATTAACATTTTTACGAGTGGGTCACTGTTTTGTTTGGTCTCATGCTCACGCACAAGGACGTACAGGCACTGATCTACAGATGGTGGTAACACGCCAAAAAAACACGGCAGTACGCCAACACAGGCAGGGAGACGAAGACTGTAAGCAAGCAAGCAGAGATGTAACCTTTCATGTAATAATTAGAAAAAACAATCTGCACTGCAAATGACTAATGAGGAAAGAAACACACTCAGGATGTTTGTTAGGTCTCAAAGATACATGTAATGCCTTTTGGAATCTCCACAGGGCACCTTTAATAATCCAGAACCATGTAAATCCTTTAACATATTACTTAAAATCAGCCTGTGACAATTTTGCTTGTTGTTGTTTAAGTATTTGTGGAAAGGACACACAAATAGTCGCTGTGGAGTGAAAATTGTGCTACAGTAAATCTGTAATGGTTGGGCGGGTCAGTCATATGTGCTCAATGTGTTTTTCTGCAGGTGTCTCTTTGGATGGGCAGAGGACATTCCCCTCACTGAAAACTCTGGAGCTTTATCACCCCTCCTTCACTTCAGCCCGGCCTTCCTCCTGTCTGATTTATTCATCACCAGTGGACCCCCGCTCCGCCCCCACCTTATCCCCAGCTCACCCTCTCTCCACTGGGCTGGTCTTCGTCTGTCCTCTCTCTGCCCGCTTCATCTGCAGCTCAAAGCGTTTTCATCCTCCACAACTCCTCTGCCCCATAAGCCCCTTCACCTGGTCAAAGCTCTGCTTCAATCTAATCCAACACAAATGTTCAGCCATAACTCTCTCTTTCTCTATTCTCTGCTCCCTGAGCCCCTGGCCTCACCGGCCCCTACTGGCCCCTCTGGGCCCCTTGTCAGTATCTCTATGTAGACTGCCTCCTCTGTGGTGACCACCGTTGTACAGCAAGAGGCCCCTCACACTGCTGAACTGAACTGAGCTGAGCTGCGTGAAGCTGCACTGTGCTTCCCTGCGATACAACACACATGTGCAGTGTGGATGAACAGGGTGAGTACAGTCCAGTGTGACAACTAGTTCTCTGCCCCAGCAATCATCGTACAGTAACTGCCATCTGCCCCAGCACAAGATGGCACACAGCGCTGCGTTATCAGTACAGTAGTGCCTCAGCCATGGCCAGTAGTCTGCTCCTCCTCTGAACTGGACTGGACTGGACTGGACCATCCTGGACTTGTCTCTGATTTCCACCATGAAGCCAGGAAAGCTGGACTGACTTAAAACTGTGCTTTTTTTTGATGAATCCAAATTCCTACTGTATGTAAACCTTCTACAGCTGGTTAATATGTGTATTTTAAACTTAAGTGAGAAAAAAAATCTAAGGAAAAGGGAAAAAAAAAAAAATCTCTCGTCTTGAGCTGTCTCAATTTCAGTTTTTGGATATTTGTGTGCTTTTGTCTTTTACTTTTGTGCATTGATTATTATCAATGGATTACTGTACAAAAAAGACGTAGTGAGTGTTTCTCTTTCACTCACCTTATTTCAATGCAAAAAAAAAAATTACATTCTTCAAAACAGAGAAATCGGCGGCTTAGTTGTCTGTGGTTATGATGGCATTTCTGTACTTTTAAAAAGAATTTACTTCGTTTACTTTTTTCCTTCATCAGATTCAGCAATGAAAACAGGAATTAGTCACTATGTTCTGTCGACCATCTGATTATGAAGTTTTCGTCTGATAATCATTAGGCAGACCTGAGTCAACTACTCATATTGAAATTCCACTCACATGCAGATTTGTGTTTTGTAGCTTCGCAGTCGCTGCAGGGTTTCTTTGACCCCTCACTAAAGGCAGAAGATAAAAAAACATATTCTTTATGATGACTTCAATTTGAGCTGATTTCAACTCTGGTTTGACTCAGGTCTGTTCCAAATATGTGAACACACCAGTATTCTTAGAAAAACAGTTCTTTTACTTGAAAGGTGTCTACTGTATTCTACTGTATACGGAAATCTGACTTCTGGTTCATTTGGTCTTGATGAAGAGGGTTGAATATCTGGACATTGGACTATGGTGTAGTACTGTTCAAGAGACTTGAGGGCTCAGGTGAGCCATATATGTAACGATTATATGTATTACTGTATATAGCAGATGATTTAACGAAGAGATTTATGCAAGTAATGTGGGAGGGATACTTCGCTTGACATTTTTCTGATGCCATTTTCCTTTTATTTCCATAGTGTTAACGGAGGACTGTTTTTGAAACTCCTTGACTTTCTGAAAGATACACATATTTAAGTATCATTTGGATCATCATGTTTCATACTATTACAGAGAGAAAATATTACAGATAACACATGACTAAGGGGACAGATAGAACGTTTAGAGTAAAAAGGCAGATCTTACCCTGCGTTGACAGTATTATTTATGTTTGAACAAAGCAGATATAGCCATAATAGTTGAAATAATGCAATTTTTAGTACAAAGAATGTCACAGTCTAAATTATATTTACCCTCATTTTTTCTGAGGAGAACTGGAATTCTGTAAGCACACTGTATGTAGGGCTCCTCATCATTTAGATGGTACTAAAGGAGATTATAGCCATATGTTAACTTCACCAAGTGGACATACAACAGCTAACATATACAGTGTTATGTTAAAAGTGGCAAATGATACCAAATGAGAGTTTATTAGCTAGGCAATGATGAGGCAGGTATTAGAGAGGCAGTAGATAGATTTATAAAGATAGGTTAGTTCTTATAGATTAAAGGGATAGTTTAGATTTTTCTTAGGTGGCATTGCATGGTGTCTACAGTCAGTGTATTACACACAGTAAATGTCTGTCAGCACGCTGCCAATTTAGAGAAGCAGCAGGAGTACTGACTCTGAAGCTAAGTAATGCATTACTGTGGATAGGGATAAGCAATGAAATGCATTTTAGCCACCTGAGAAAATGTCCCACTTCAGAAAAATCAGTATCAGCTGAAGTGTATTCTATATTGAGAATATTTTCACCACCTTACCTTGCCGTCAGACAGCCTGTCCAAACGCGGAAGCCCCTAACAGCTTCAGTTCCCCATCTGTGGTCTCATCACATCCACCAGATTCCACTGACAAAAACAGTAATTTTAATTTGGTAAACCCAAGAGCTGCTGGTCTACCGTAGCTTCGATCAGTTATTTCGTTTGTGTTATTGTGTGACTTTAGTGAATCCAGACTTACCCCTTTAAATGCCAAAGTCACACAATAACACAAACAAACTAACTGATCAAAGCAGCAGTAGACCAGCAGCTCCTGTGTTCAGCGATGTTAAATCACTGTTTTCCTCAATGGAGTCTGGCTTTAAAAAGAGAGCGACAGTATGGTTACATTTTCACATCGGAAATTGCTGTCTGACAGCAGGGTAAAGCAGTGAAAATGCTCTCATTATAGCGTACACTTAAACTGATGTTGATGTTTTTAGATGGGCCATTATTTAGGTGGCTAAAATAAGAGTTGTTGCTGCCCCCTCCACAGCAGTACATTGCTTATCTTCCATGTCAGTATTCCTGCCTGCTTCTCCAAACTGGGGGCACGCCGTCCGACATCTACTGTATGTAATACACTGACCATTGATAAGTACCCCATACATGCCCACTTCAAAAGATCTGAACTACCCCTTTAACATAAACATGAATGCACTTTTATAAAGAGGCCAAACCCAAGAAAAGAGCAGAATCAATGCAAAAATGCTGTCATTTAGCATGATTTATTCAGATTCTATAAACCTACAAATCATTTTGGAATTACTTTCAACCAAGCCTGAAATTGTAAATGCATAATCAAAGTAAAGAAAATGTTGCATATCCTTTTTCAGCTAAAAAATGATACACTTTTTGGATCCGTCGACAGGGCCGTAGGTAAACTGGAGGGTTTTAATGACCTGTGAAGTTGATATTTTTCAAAAATTCTTAAATGTGACTGTTGAGGTGAAAAAACAACAACTTTAAAACAGCATTTTAAGACAGTTACATAAGGAGATAAAGTTCACAGAAAATCTATTTAAACAATTAAATTGATATAGGAAATATGAAAAAAGAAAATTTTCAAACTGCTTTGATTACTGGTCAGAAATTTCTTTGGGGGGTGGGGTTACACTGGGGGAGTATTCTTCACCTCAGTATTTCTACAATCCTGGCCACAGCCCTGCCTCTAGATGTATGACTTCAAGTTTAAATTCCAAAGAGAATATCAACATATAGAATCTAGCTACATACATTGAATTCAAAGCCTTTATCCAGGCAGTAGCATGGATTAAAAGTTATCTTTTCCAGTTCAGACATTGTTAACCCCCTTCCTAAATCCAGGCCTTCACATGATAAATATTAGATGTGGATATTTAGGGAAAAGAAAGCAACGGTATGAGATGACAGTAGTGAAGCATTATGAGTGCACACGGTGCTATTGGTGTTTTCATCATCATCATCATCATCATCATCATCATCATTACTGGAGATCTGCAGCAGCTACACTATCAAACTCAGTGTAAAAAGCCATGTATGATTGAAAAGAAAAGATTTCCACTCATGTTTATCTTTTTTTTTTGACTCCATGTTGAAGAGAGGGGTGGGTGGGTTTTTGGTTTTTACGCAGTAATTTAAAGAAGGAGACTTGATGCTATGCTATAAGTTGATGTGCAATGTTTGTGCTTTACACGGGTAGCGGCGAGACGCTTTTATTGACGACGGACTCGGGGATGGGCTGACTGTCAGTAGTTTTTTTCTGCCGTTTGAGCCACGTCATGATGCTGTGACATCATGACGGCGCTGATGATGTCACACTATCGTCACTGGGGTGTTGACGCGGTCACAGTGACGACAACAATGAATGCTGTTGGATGTAGTTATGCAGAAAACTTTTTGGTGAATTTAAACAATAAAGACAAATTACAATTCTTGGCTCTTGTGCTTTTTTCTGTTTGTGTGTCATTTTGTCCTTTTAATAAACATTTGTGCTTCAACAGATATTGTCTTGGTGCTATAAGGTCAATATTGTTAACTGAGGGACTATGAAGTATAGTATAGAGACCCCTGTCTTATGACCACTAGAGGGAGGCAGACACTTACAGTACAGGCTTCACCTTCAGACACGCTGCTTCAGTCAGCGTTCTCCAACTCCTGCAATTTTTTATACTTAAGTGATCAAAAGTATTTGTCTGTTTATATTTGTGTTGTTTGTGCTGGCAGCCTCATGCAAAAGCAAGAAAATACATTTTGTTTTAAGGTGCGGCAGCTGCATAATGAATAAAACATGACTGGAGAATCATCTCTGTCTCGGAGATGAAAGCTGAGCTGCTCTAACAGCCCTTGTCAGTGACCTTGACTCTTCAAACACGAGCACACTGTTAGTCAACAGGAAGAAAAGGTGGCCGCAGTGGAGACTGATTCTTGTATATTACAACGGACACGGTCATGAATCACAGTATGGCCACCCCTGCTTTGTGGGCCCTCAGATTGTAGCCCTGGAGGAATGGTGATATGTAACCTTTGAGAATGACTTTGGTTTTTCTTAAGAGATTTTTGGAATTTAATAAAGAGAATAACTCATGAGCAGATAAATGTTTGTTCATTCAAACTAAAATAACGTCTTAGCAATATGCAAACTGGTTACTTGGAAACACCTGTAGAGCCATCCAAGCGAAAGCAATCATCTATGTAAATAGGACACTACTTCACCATCACAGGCTTCACTTTAAAGGGCCAAGTGAGGTACAGTGGCATGCAAAAGTTTGGGCAACCCTAGTCACAGTTTTGTTTGCTGTGAATAGTTAAGTAAGTAGAAGATGAACTGATCTCCAAAAGGCATGAAGTTAAAGATGAAACATACTTTGCAACATTTTAAACAAGATTACGATATTATTTTGTAAAATTTAAATTTAAAAAAAAAAAATGAAAGGAGCACTATGCAAAAGTTTGGGCACCCCAAAAGCATTTGAGCTCTCAGACAACTTTTACAGGGTCTCAGACCTTAACTAGCTTGTTAGAGCTATGGCTTGTTCACAATCATCGTTAGGAAAGGTCAGGTGATGCAAACATTAAAGTTTTAAAAATATTCTGACTTCTAAAACTTTGTCCCAACAATCAGCAGCCATGGGCTCCTCTAAACATCTGCCTAGCACTCTGAAAACCAAAATAACTGATACCCACAAAGCAGGAGAAGACTATAGGAAGATAGCAAAGTCTTTTCAGGTCGCTGCATCCTCAGTTAGTAATGTAATTAAGAAATGGCAGTAAACAGAAACTGTGGAGGTCAAATTGAGGTCTTGAAGACCAAGAAAACTTTCCAAGAGAGCTGCCTGTAGCATTGCTAGTAAAGCAAATCAAAACCCCTGTTTGACTGCAAAAGACCTGCAGGAAGATTTAGCAGACTCTGGAGTGGTGGTGCACTGTTCTACTGTGTAGTGACACCTGTACAAATATGACCTCCATGGAAGAGTCATCAGAAGAAAAGCTTTCCTGTGTCCTCACCACAGAATTCAGGCTCAGGCTTTTGCAAAGGAACATCTAAACAAGCCTTGCTTTTTGGAAAAAAGTCCTGTGGGCTGATGTAGTTAAAATAGAACTTCTTGGACGCAGTGAACAAAGGTATGTTTAATGAAAAAAGGGTGCAGAATTTAATAAAAAGAACACCTGTCCAACTGTTAAACACAAAGGTGGTGTGATCATGCTGGCTTGTGGTGCAGCCAGTGATATGGGGAACATTTCAAGGGTAGAGGATGGTGTCTACCAGAGTCCTGCACTGGGTCGGGTACCCGACGGGTACCCGCAAAAACAGCTGATTTGCGGGTGGTTTTTAAAAAAGCATTTTTTCCCGGGTTCGGACCTGGGTGGAAAAAATAACATGCGGGTCGGATCGCTGGTTTTAGATAAACACATCAGTCATTAGTTCGGTAAACTACAGATAACTATCTTGGTCATTATTTACTCTCTGAGGATCGCCTCCGCTATTTCGCAACGGTCATTGGTTCAGCTGTTTACACTTGTTTCACCATCTAATAACACAATTTGTGATTGGACGATAGAATCAACATGGCTGCCACCGTCTAACAAGTGCCGCTTCCAAAACCGTAAATAATTATTTAGGTATTTGAGAAATAAGTGGATAAAACGTACAACTATCACTTTATAATGTTTCTGAAGTGTTTCCCTGATGGATTACTTCTCTCCTCGATGGATTCTAAAAACACGTGACGGCTCGTAACTTCTGAACGTCGCTCTGGACAGAAAGTAAGTCTATTATTACACATGTAAAGTTCCTTTACATAGATTAAAAGTTTAAAAGCATTAAACGTAACAAACAAGTGCCTTTACACTCGTATGGGAGAAGAACACAGAGGGTTGATGAGCTGAAGCTGGATGGAGCTGAAGTCAGGTTTTTATTGTGAGAGCTGCTTCATTCAGGTCTTTGTTTACTCACTGGCACCTTAACTGTGGCGATATGCTGTTCAATATTCAGCCAATATGACCCAAAATGATTACTTTAAATCCGGGTTACGGGTCGGGCTGTGGGTCGTGTTTCAACGGGTCGGACCTGGTTGCGGTACTAATTGGCCTGATGCGCGGGTTTGTGGTTCGGGTGCGGGTTTGTACGTCGCCGTGTCGGGTCGGGTCGGATCTTGAAAACTGGACCCGTGCAGGACTCTGGTGTCTACAACTGGACAATGATTCTAAACACACCTCGTAATCAACAATGGATTACATCAAAAGACACAAGATAAAGGTTTTGCCATGGCCCTCACAGTCCCCCGACCTAACCATCATTAAAAATCTGTGGATAGACCTCAAAGGAGCAGTGCATGCAAGACGGCACAAGAATCTCACAAAGCTAGATGCCTTTTGCAGGAAGAATGAGTAAAAAAGACAAACAAGAACTGAAAGATATATAGCTGGTTACAAAAAGTGTTTAGAAGTTGTGCACTTGCCAATGGGGGCGCTACTAAGTGCTGACGATGGAGGGTGCCCAGACTTTTGCTTCACGCCCTTTTTCCCTTTATTATTATTTTGGAAATGGAGAAGATTGAAATAAAAAAGTGACCTTGCCTTTGCCTTTTGGAAATTAGTTCATCCTCTGCTTCTTTAAATATTCACAGTAAATGGAATTTTGCCACTGTATTCAGTTTATCTGCCAGTGCTTTATTGAATGCAGGCTTGAGTTATATTGTTTTATTTTGTGAAATGTAATTTATGGGCACTTGAC